TGTACCATTGTCCAACTTTTTTGGGCCCCTGTATCTTATCTCATTCCTTGCTGGTTCACAGCACACAGGCTTAATTGCTGCTTTTTCCAGAAAAATGGTTGACACAGTTTGGATGGTTACTTAGCATAAGCAAATGGCTGGCTTGGGTATCATTCTGCCTTGTGGTCAGCAGCTCTGCTAGGCCACAGGTCATGCCTTGTATTCAGCTGCAAATCCAGTGCTCTCTAAGGTCCAAATATTGTCACCCTAACACTCCCTCACAGGATTAGTATAGGCAGCAAAAGAGAAGCCCAGCCAATTCTCCAGAGGTCATCACTCTTTCCACATAATACAGCTCTTGGGCCTGGCAAGATAGATGGTGCTTTTGCATTGCTCGGACAGAGGACTGACCTGACCTTTTGCCTATTGTTGATGATGAGTGGGAGAGTTCTTAGGTGACTTGCTTTCTAGCCTGAGACCGAGCCAGTAACTAGGGCGATGGTACTATCAGGATATTTTTTGCTTTTTCATTGGCAACACACACACACACACACACACACACACGGAGGGGGAAGGAAACAAAAGGATGAAAATAAAACAAACAGTTCAGTAGCCTTCTTGATCTTTGACATGGCTGAACTCTGCCAGGTAATGGAGGTGATGCTCTGCACAATGTATCATTTTTGTAGCCACTCTTCAGGTATGTCAAAACTTATCAAAATTTTTGCTTTACATTTTATAGTCTAGCATAGTTGACATTACAATTACTTATAATAATAGCATTATACAAACTTAGTAAAACACAATCACTACACATAACAAGATTTCTTCTTGTACTTAGCAAACTTCTTCAGTTATGATTTCATCCTGTAAAATACAAGAACAAAAAGGGAGGGGAGTTCACCCCTTTTGGTTAGTTTATTCTTAAGCTCATACACTTGTGGCTGGCTTTGCTTGGCTTATAGCCAGGTTGGCACTTATTCAAAAAATTATCCTCTTTGCACCTTGCAGAGGCTGCTTTTACAGCAGTATTCTTCTCTTAAAGTGGCGGGCGTTTCATGTCACACAACTCTTTTTTTGTTGCTTGCATCAAGGGTTTTTCTGTTGGAGTATGCTCCCCTTAGCTTTTTGTTAATGAAGAATACCTCACATGGAGGTGGGTTTTAAGTCACTTTATATTTGCTTTTGCCTATTCCTTAGGGTGGTTATGATGTAGCACTTTGCAGAGCCTACCCTGTTACAGGTAGCTTTACTACACTAACTACACCTAGGAGGGTGGCAGTTTCAGGTCATACCTAGGATTAAACTTTCTACTCTCCCGCTTTGGTTTTATTTCTTATGGGCACAGTCTTTGACTTCTGGGCCCCACCTCGGGTCAGTTGAGATTGCAGGCTCCCGGCTCTGGCAGCTGTAACGGTGATTTTTTCTGTGTGTGCTCCGACTGCCAGATTACTTGGTCTTCTAGGGTTGTGCAGACTTTTTATTAGATTTTTCTTTTTCTCTCTAACAACTTTCTAGAATCCTAACATTTTTTCTAGGTTTCATTTACCTTTTAGTTTTTCTTTCCTTAACAGATCTTAACCATAACTTTTTTGGGGCTACAGGCTTCACAATTTGTTTTTATCAGTGGCTCCTTCCTGCCTTGCTCTCTGCAAACGAATTCATTCATCAATTTTCTCTCTCTCACAACCCAGCAAGCTGTACAACCCAGCAAGCTTCACTTGGACTAAGAAAGGTCCCCTGAAAGGCCATGGGTGACAAATTACACATTACACACAATCCCTTCAAGAAAACTCTTCCTACCTTAAAAATAAATTTTTAAACTATGCCTCTGCAGAGAAAAACAAAATGTGCCTTTGATAAGCTTACTCCTTTTTCCCTGCTCAGAGTAACTCAAATTAATTCTGGGCACTGATCTCTAGTTCCACAGCTGTTAATAATCTTTATCTCTTCTAGGCTCTTTACTGTTCTTGGGTGGGGGGAGACACACCAAGTTTCCCTTTACCTCTAATCACAAATTCTCTGCTACTGCCTGAACAGATGCCTAGTAACATACCTTGTCTCTTTCTGTGCTACTTTGCTTCTATTTTCTGATACACACAGGATTCTAGAGTGTTTCTCTTACATTTCTCTAACTGTTTTTGATTTCTCTGAAGCTATACTGCCCGTGTAACACTGTCTTGCTATATCCTGCATTGGTAACTTACACTTTTCAAATTTCACAACAAACACATACTTGCTTTCATCTTTTCTGCACAGAAAGCTGTAATTATATTTTTACTCAGGGGTTTTAGAGTTAAAAGACCCTGTTCATTCACACAGCCTTTTTAGCAAAGAGATGACTTTCTTTGCTTTTTAGCTTCCTATTGTAAACACAACAGGAGGTTCTTACTTAATTCCAAGGGGACCACAGCATATACTCATGTGCACTACTCTGCCTGACCTGGACAAACAAAGTCTCCTGATCAGCAGAAACAAACAACATCTCCTGCACAATACTTGCAACTTCAGTTACTTCGTATATAACTCTACCTTACTACAAGTTTCAGCTGACCCCACTTAAACAAATCACTCTGCATCAACAAATTCTCTGATCAGTCAAGTTACTACTCTTGTGTCCTGGTGGAGTTGCTGGGTGGGCACAACTTTTAGACTGTCTACAACACCTGCCAGTCGATAATAGGTGAATTTATTGATACAGAGCAAGAACAAAAAAGCAACAATACAGACAATTAAACAATTCTATAGCTACTAAGCTTAGGGTTATCATCAGAATTAAGGTACATCCAACCAGAAAGCAGGCTTCACTCTGAAGCTCTCTCTCTCAGGTGTCAGCAGTCTGGAGGTGAAATCTTGAACACTCCAAGCTAAAGCTTGGAGGGCAGTTGCTTTACTTAAAATTTCTTTGACCCAACCCAAGGCTGTAATACAAGCCAGGCTAGACGGACTTTCCTGGGGTCCTGGATCCCCATTCCGTTTAACCCAACTTACCAAAAAAACACTGAGGTCACCCTGACCCCCCAGGTTTAGAGGAAAAGCCTCTGAACCTGCTGCCATGCTACTGGTGAAAGGTAAAAGACAGGGTACGATAGCCGAGATGGCCCATTAGAACCTAGTTCACGCCAAGCCGACCCAGGCCCAAGAGAACCCAGTACTCCTGCTAGGCCTTACCCTGGTAGGATTGGAATGATCAGTCCCCTGCAAATGTGTGTCAAATCCTGCCAACTACGCCAAGATGTTAGACCCTGATTCCACGCGGTGCCCAAAGACTAGGGACACAACGATGCAATTGCTCATGGATCCTGGTACTCATTAGCCAGAGCAAGCAGGGAGCAAACACCAGCACACATTGCTCACAACAGCTTTATTCAGAATGGAGACAGCTTCGGACTAGCTCCAAAAAACCCAACAAACTGGGGAACCACAGTGAATGATAGTTTTTTCCCACATTTATACACTTTGATTTATACTCATTAACATTTATTCTACCCTTGACCCTCCCTTATGTTCTACCCATTTCTCCTCCTATCTCAAGCTCTGTCTCTGTTTACTGTTTGCTTCATTAGCATGGAATTGTCTATGCATTTCATTAATTTACATGCCTTTTTGCTACGAGCGCATGACCTTGACTTCTCTTCTTCAATGGGTGGACTTTGACCAAAACCTGGAAACTTCTGGAGGCTTCTTCACCAATCACCATTCACCTTTTTGCATATGTTCATCTTGGATTCTGTTACTAAGTACGTGTTTTTTTTCACATTCCAGTCTGTTTTTCTGTCTCAGATTGTACCGTCTTCCACCTTTTATGGGCCTCCATATCTTATCTCGTTTCTTGCTATAGCTGGTTCACAGCACACAGGCTTAACTGCTGCTTTTTCCAGAAAAATGGTTGACGCAGTTAAGATGGTCACTTAGTATAAGCAAATGGCTGGCTTAGCTATCATTCTGCAGGTCTGCTAGGCCACAGGTCATGCCTTGTATTCAGCTGCAAATCCAGCACTCTCTAAGATTCAAATATTGTCACCCTAACAATAATATCCACCAAAGCCAGGAGTATCTGATTTGTGGCCTGGTGTACAAGTCCCTGGTGTATGTTGCAGATAGCAAATAATCCCCCACATCCTTAACTATCTTTCTTCAGTGGTTCAACCTCCTTATGGTTAAAAATCTGTTTGTTCTCGGAATTTGCCTAGCTTCTAGTCATTGGTAGTGAATACCTCTGCCTGATAGATCAAGTAGTCTAATGCTATTAGAAATCTTTCCACTGAGGTCCTTGTAGTCTGTGGTCAAGTCACCCCTCATCCTTCTCTAAAGAATTTGATTATAAGGCAGGTTTTCCAGACCTCAATTAGTTCCTGCAGCTGCTTTCTACAGTGGCAACAGAAGTTTAGTGCATGAGTGACTGGTGTCTCCTGAATCTGGGGGGGCACCTGCAGAAGCTGCCAACAGCTCGGGGGCACCAGCCCTGCCAACAGAGTTGGTGCTGGCCCTCAGGTAGGGCACCTGTGGGGGGGAGGGCGTGTGCACCCTCTACCAGTCACCTAGGGCTTAGTGAGTGTGATGCACCCCAGGCTTTGCTCCGAGGTTCTTTCTTTCATAGTGTACATGTTACTGAAATGCCTGGCTGCTATCCCTTCTGCCGACATCCTTCCCGTGCCAATAAACACGGGCGGGAAACAGCAGCAACCGTCAACTAAGCAGAAAGCTGGCGCTGGAGCCTCACCTCAAGAACAAGCCGGGACAGGAGGGGGAACGCTCGGCCCGGCGCTGCAGGCACACCCGGCCTGGCCTTGCCGCCACAGCGGCGGCTCCACGAGCATAAACTAGAGCCCGGCTGGCGCAAGTGGCGAACGAGACGGGGAGGGGCTAGACGAGACTCCGAGCTAACGCTCCGCGGGAAGACGGCCTGCGGCGGGCTCCTAGCAGGAGCTGCGCAGGCGCAGCGTCGGGTGGGCGTGGCTCCCGGCTCAGCGCCGAGCTCCAGCCGCGGCGACTGGCTCAGAGGCAGGTGAGTTGGGAGCGGCTGTGGGTGCCGCGCTCGCGTTTCTCAGCGGTCCGGGGGCCGCTGGCCGAGGGGCCGGCTGCTCTGCTGCTCACTCCTGCCCTGCTCCTTTTAGCCTGCTTGGCGGCTTCCTCGTGCAGCCTAGGCCAGGCCGGCTTTGGAGGTGCTTACTGCCAGCAGCTAGAGCATTTAATGGGCCTTGTGAGAGCCTGCTCTGTGGCAGCAGGATGTCTCCTGGACTGAAGCCTGGCCCAGCATCTGGGCACCGCTGCCATGTCTGTGAAGTGTGTTAGCATCTGGAGTCTTGGCTTGGTATGACACTGGCCCTGTCACTTCAAGAACAGCTGCAGGCACCCACTGTGGTTTGCTTGCTTGGCTTTGGAGGTGCGCAGCTGTGTTTGGTTTGGACATCTGTATGGGTGGAGAACCCGAGTTTTTGCTTTTGGTGCTCAGCTACAAGTCTGGGAAGCTTTGATGTATACAGGTCTTTAATTTGCTTTTCATCAGTCCTTCTGTGAGGCTTCAGCCTTGAATTTGCATGCTATTGTAATAAAAAAAAAAAAAACCAATTGCAAATTCCAGTTACTATCAGCAGTAGGCCTCTGTTCTGCTGTGAGTATTTCCCATGTTTCTGGGCTTTGCTGGTTGCTCCCTGCTATGTGTGTCAAAGTGTTTTTAAGCTTCCCTCAGAGGCATGGGGTTTTGGCTGTAGCCAAGGGATTTTGACTAGGGTGTGCCAGTGCTTTTTCTAGGACTTAAAGCCAGAGGTACCTGGCTAGAGCATCCTGCCCCTCCACTCTGGGTCAAACCAGTGCTGTATATGGGGTCAGGAAGGAACTTTACCCCATGGCCAGATTGGTATGGACTGTGGGTATTTTTAATCTTTCTTTGTGTGCTGTGCGCCATGTGTGGGGGGGGAGGTCCCTACACCCACCCCACAAACCTCACACTCACACCTACACCTTGTTCACCCAAGTTCCATGCTCCGGCCACCCTGCTACCAGTGCAAACCCCAGGCTCCGGACTTCCACCAGTCCCACGCTCCTGCCCAGCTGCAGCTTCCCTACTTCCTGCTTGGAGTGAGCACTGCAGCAGAGACAGAAGGAGGAGCCGCTGGAGGCTGGGGAAGGTGAGGAGGTCCCCTGGTGGTGGCAGCAGTGGGCCCGTCTGGAAGCTGTGCATGCTGGCTGGGGCCCTCCCACATGGGACGGTGGGAGTGAAGCATATGCGCCTGGCGGGGTACAATTAATTGGTAGGTGCCTGTGAGCAGGACGAAATTGCCTGGTGGGCCATACTTGGCCCATGGGCTGTATTTTGTCTGCTCCTGTTTTAAGTCAACAGCTTGTTTATTGTAGTCAACAAGTCTTGTTTCACATGTGACAATAGGTGGTTGATTTTGGAGAGCACAGCATTTCTTGTCTCTTGTGAAATTAAGGCAGATGTGGAATCCTGAGGATCCTCTGTGACACATGGAATACCCTGGAACAGCACTGTGGTGTAGATCTTCTGTTCAGGTGTGTTTTCTTCACAATTGACAAACCCAGTATCTGCAAGTGCTCAACAGGCTGAAATTTTATTCAGATCAGCAACAATATTTGTGTCGGTTGAAGGTATGCCCTGCTCATTTGACTTTTTTCTGGATGGCTTGAGTTTCTGGTACACATTTAATGTGATCCTTGTGCTTACAGTGATTGCAGTTAGCATGGCAGAAACAGCCTCTGTTTTGTCCGTGGCTTCCACCATAGCTATAGGAGCTTCTGAAGGATGGAGAATTAATTCTTCAGTGAGCTGGTGGTGACTTTGGAAAACTCCTTTTGGACTGTACTTAGTGAGCCCGATGTCATGTTTGCAGCAACATTTATATCTCCTTTGAATGGAGAGATGCAGCCTCATGAGCAAGTGCTGCTTCTTGAACAGCAGTAATTGTTAAGTTTTGCTGTTGGTGTACAGAGATGTGGGTTTTCTGGAAAAAATTTCCAATGCCCTAAATAGAGCATGGTCTGATTTAGCATGTTTATTTGACTTGTATTTAGTAAACAGAACTAAAAATGTTAATTTTATTTCCCAATAACCACAAGTATTTGAACTGAAATATTTGATTAGGAAAAAAATAAAATACAGCACACTTAGTATGGTTTAAATGTTATATTCAAACACATTTTAAAGCTTTTTGTGGGAAGAAATTATTTTTATTGGAATACTTGTAAAAATGTAAAGAAAATACACAATAGCATGTGCTTCCCTTACCTTGCTTGTATCAATTTAAGAAAAAAACAAAGGCACTGAAAACTGTTGATACACTCATTTTAGCACACCCAAAGAACTGTGCATGATATGCCGTGGTTATCCACTCATCTACTTCAACAGAGTTAAACTCTCTTCCACTGAGGTCATCGTGGCACCTCCAGTTTCACTGTCACTGTCTGCAGAATCACTTGCACTACTTATTAGTTCCATTTCAGAATCAGTTGGAAGCAAATCTGATTCAGAACTACTTGAACCACGTTCTCTATTGCTAAAGGATGGTTTTACCAAGGAGTCTGTCCGCAAGGGCAATTTATCATCATGCTGCATCTTCTTCACTAATTATGCTTCTGACTGATTCTCCAGAAGCAAGAGAGAATTGAGAAATAGAAAAAAACTTAGTAGTGCATTCATTTGTTAGTCTGTTCCTCTTTTTTTGTCTTGATTGAGCTGAAAGCCTTCTAGTTTCATTCACAAGAAGCTGCTGTTGGTGGAATGCTTAGGATCCTTAGAGCAGTCTTGTCCAACATGCGGCCCACCAAGCCATTTTGTCTGGCCCGCAGCGGCTATGCAGCTTTCATGTTACTGGCGTTATCAGTTATAAGGGCTTGTACCCTGGAGGGACCTGCACTTTCAATCTCTTCTCTCAGTAATTTGGCTATATATTCACCTGTATGACAAGAAGATTTGGTAGCAATTGCTTTCAGGAATGTTGGTTCAGGTGTTGCTAACATAATGTTCAATAAAGGATTTTCTTGTTTATCAGTCTATCCATCTGACATCGGAGTCAGTAATTCTGCTTGACCAATCCTTTGAATAACCATTGTTTGAGCTCTGTCATACTCTCTATCGAAGAGAGAATGTGATGAGCAATAACATGACAGTAATTTATGATGGGCAAATTAGTTTGTAATGTTCCTTCCAGTATTGATTTACAGTTATGGAAAGGTGTACCACTTGCAAACATAGCTTGGGCTAACATCTCATCTGCTTTTTCTTGATCTTCTTGATCATTTTGTCCACAAAGCTTGATAAAGAGCTTGACTGTCTTAAACAGCTACTCATGCTGGATCACGTATCTGGTGACAGTGATCTTGAAAGCGAGGATCCTGCTGCTTCTTCCTCCAGACCTGGCAGCTCAACATTTTCATTTTCCATTTTTTGTAAATCTGCTATTACACTTAAGCTATGAAGTTCCTGCAACAAAAGGGGGAAAAGATTTTTATTTTAGCCTATTCTAGTCTGGCCTCATCCATCAGAAGGAGAAGAAGCGTCAGGGAGCTTGCTTCCTCCATCCCTTCCAGAAGGAACCCTCTGCTGCTCAACTTGCTGCTCAGTTGCCCTGGGACTGCAGAGCCAAAGGGAAGTATAGTCTAGCCTCTGCCATTGGCTAGAGGACTAAGCTTGCTCTGCTGGGTTGAAATAGTTAACTGTTTATCTATTGTGTAACTTTAAAAAAAAATATGGTTAAGCCTAAGCCACTTTGGGTGCTTAGTGCCAGCAGAAAAGCAGGATACAAATATTTTAAGTAAATAATAGTCTAGAGTTGCATTAACAACTTGAAAAACTTATAATGTTTTAAAACAATATAGATGTTAGTCAGTACTGTGTGTTGTTTTAACATATTAATTTGTTTACTTGCATATGATTCCTGAAGTAGACTTTTCTCAGATGATGTTGTTCCACCACTTCTTTTTATTTGCTTTCTGTATATGGCTTGTACTCTTTCGGGACAGTTTCTACATGTTGTTAAACATTCCTTCATTCTTGTTGCGTTGTTAGCATACTTCTGCCTGCAATATTTACATCTACCAACTTCCTTCCTTCCTTCAGTGGCTTGAATTTCACTATAATGATGCCACACACTAGTTTTTTTCTGATTAGGCATTCTTATGACTAAGGCAAGCCAAAAGCATTAAAAAACTAACATCTTATGCAAACACTTCCAACTTCTCCAACTCAATAAAGGAAATGAGACACTGCTGTGAGTGTTTGTTGAATTGAAAGTGAAACAAAAATTAATCACAGTTTTAGTTTTGGTTTTGCTTTCACTTGCAGTCTGAGATGAAATAAGGATTTGAGTTTTGGTTTTGGAAAATTTTCTGCCCCATATCTCTGTTAGTGTAGTTATTTTTGTATTTATTAATGTAAATATATTGGCTCAGGAATCAGTTATGTAGATGGTGTTTGAATACCATATTGTTTCTAGAGTAGAGGCAGGTGTGATGTCACAACTAAATGCCCATAAAAGGCAGAGAAATGTGACCAGTGTGATATCTTGCCAAAATAGTGTAATTTTGGAACTAGAGAGAGGGGAAGAAATCAGTCTGGTCCTAGATTTACCAGAACGTGCTCCATGTTTTGTTTTGTTTTGTTTTAAAGCATAGGCTTCTCAGGAGATTGGGGCATTCTGCTATGCAAGAGAGTATCTGTGTGTTTGTAGCCTCATTCAAGCTTTCTCCATGCCCACACCTGACTGTACTTTGCTAGCTTTTTGGGATAGTATCTTTTGAGGGATGTGCCCCTGTTTTTGACTCTAGTTATGCTGTCATTTCTTCAGTTTTTCCTTTCCTTTATCTTTAACTTCTTACCTTCAGGTGCTCAGTGTCTGCTAGCAGACATCAGAATCTGCATTCAATTTAAATTAAAATACATTTATTTGTGGGGAAAAAACAGAGAACTCAATAAAAATAAAGTAAAATAAACGCATGATTAATAATTGTGGAGAAGGTACTATATAAGATATGAAAGGATGGCAGACTTAGGCTCATTTGTCCCACTTGCTGATAGCATACAAGTGTGGCCATGTCCAGAATGTTTTTCACAGGTCAGTGAAACTTGGCGTATTTCTAGATCTTTCTGTAACTAAAGAACTATTTGTTTATACAGATACTGAGGGCTTTTTTTTCCCCCTCAGGT